TCCTGAGTATGGGGGAAAGGGTGCTCTGAGCCCACAGTGAGGGACACCCCAAAATCTCCCACTCCCTTGGCCCCACTCACCCGCCACGCATCCAGGTTTTTGTCTGAGGGAGCGCTGGCCAGGACGTTGCTGGCTGGAACCTTTCCTTTGGGGACACAGGGAATGGGGTGAGTGGCCAGGGTGGCCCCAGGGTTGTGGGGGACACCCCGGCACAGCCCAGACACCCCAATTTCCACTGGGATGTGATTCCTCCAATCCCAGCACGATCCCAAAGGGGGATATGGAGCAAGTGTGGCCGGCACCAGTTGTGTCAGGGTGCAGTGACAATGGAGGTGGCCCTAATGGGCAGGGCTGTCCCCACACTGTGCTATGGGACAGGGATAATCCGGGACACAAGTGGAGCAGGGACAGGGCTGTGCCCTCACTGTCTGTGGGACTGGGATGTCAGGGAGAGAGGCAGGACAGGGCTGTCCCAATGTCCCCACACTGATCTGGGGAACAAGAACCCTGGGGGACTGGGATAGGACAGGGCTGTCCCCATGTTCCCACACTTATCTGTGGGACAGGGACACCAGAGAACAGAACGGTCCCTGGGGAAGAGTGGCAGGAAAGGGTTGTCCCCATGTCTTTCCAGTGTAGGACAGGAACCCGGGGAGGGGCTGGGACCTTTGGAACAGGCCAAGACAGGGCTGTCCCCATGTCCCTCCAATAGAGCACAGGGACCAGGGGAAGGGCTGGGACCTTGGGAAGGAGCCAAGACAGGGCTGTCCCCACGTCCCTGCACTGGAGGACAGGGACCCGGGGGCGGGCTGGCACTTTAGGAACGGGTCAGGACAGTAGGGAAGGGAGTGCACGGAGCGTCCAGAGCAGCGCTCTCCCCATGTCCCCCCGCACTTCCCCTCGCCACAGGACGCGCAGGGACGCCGGGAAGGCGCCAGACCAGGACTGTCGCCGTGTCCCCTCCCCTGCCCGTGTGTCACGGAGCCTCCGGTCGCCCCCCGTGCCGTACCCGCCTGCAGCAGCCCCCGGACGAGCCCCCCAGCCATGCGCCCGGCGCCCACGAACCCGACCCAGAGCTCGGACGCCTCCATCGTTACGCGAGGCCACGCCCCCAGAGCCACACCCCCGGCGCTGATTGGCATCGGGCAGCCACACCCCGTTTTCCTATTGGTGGATCCGCCCTTAAGGGGCGGGGTGAACGGCGTAAAGAGGGGAAACTGCGCAGGCGCCGGCGCCACGTGGTTCGCGCAGGTTCACGCGTGGGGGTCCTGGAGGGAATTCCCAAACCATTCCCAAAACCTTTCCGAACCTTCCCTTCAGCGCTCCTCGGAGCCCCGGTACCCCTAGGGCCACGAGGGGGTCCCCATCGCGGGGGTGGGGACTAAATTTGGCGTGGGGGAGGTCCCCAAAGTTGTCCGTGGATGTGGGAGGTGCTTCCCACTCTCTTGGCCCCACAGGTCCCCCCACCCGCCGGCATCCACGGGTTTGTGGGGGGGTGTCCCCTAATTTGTCGGTGGATGTGGGAGCTGCTTCCCATTCCATGGTGCTCCACACCCACCAGCATTCCTGGGACTAGGGGAGGTTCCCCTGGTGGGAGGGGGACCCTGAAATTTGGGGAGGGGGGTCCTGCAATTTTTCCATGAGTATGGAGGGCTTTTCCCCACCCTCTTTTCCCCACAGGACCCTCTCCATTTCCCATCATGCTGCTCCAGAGCTCCGGGGCTGTGCTGCTCCTCTGCGCCACTGCTGGGTTTTTGGGGTGGCTGGGCCTTGCCGTCCCCCCAGAGAAGGTGGGGACCCCCCTCAGAGCTGGAGTTCCCCCCACAAATCCCCCTCAAGACAACCACGGGTGACAGCCGGTTCCAGGATGAAGCCACATCCCAGGAGATGTCACACGTGGACTCCTGTTACTGTCTGGTGGCTGTGGGACTCCCTCTGGCTGGGAAATTTGGATTCTGGGATCCCCCATCCTGGGCAACCTCTTTGCTTGGTGTAGGGATGGTTTTTGGGGGGTGAAGGCCAAATTCTGGGGTTACACCACCTTTTTCCATATTTTACATCCTCAAATCCCCTCCTCTATCCCCCCATCCTGTGCTGGGAGCACCCAGGGGTGCATTTGGGGCGTCCATGGGGAAAACCAGCATTCCCCCATCATCACCCCCCCAAATATTCACCTCAGGAGGAGCTCTGGGAGGCCTGGATGAGGTCACCTCTGGATGAGACCCCCGTGGCCCAGCTCATGCAGGACATCGCCCACCGGATGGGTATGAGCCAGGGCTGGGATGCTGCAACATTCCCATATCCCACTTTGGGACTGATCCAACATCTTTTCCCACCCCACAGGGAATGTGAGCAGCCGTGGGGCTGCGGAGCTCCAGGGAGGACACCAAGCTGTCCCATCCAACCTCCATCAGGAGCAGGAAAGACATCAGGATATTCATCCCCAACCAGGTGGGAACACAGCAAATCCCATTCCCAGTTTTTTTCACACTGGGGTGCATCTTCCCCAGCTCTTTCCACTGTTGTTTCTATCTTTTCCATATGCAGAGAGCATCCTGGTCCTTCAGGAGGTGATGGAGAAGCTGCAGAAGGTCAACCAGAGCTTGGAGCTGATGCTGACAGCCTTGGAAGATGCACAAAGCCATCTGGAAAAGCACCTGGAGCACCTCAAAGCCATCCCTGACCTGGGTGGTGAGCGGGAATGGGGGCTGGAGGATCAATGGGAGCTGATGGATGCCAACACCAGGCTCTTCTTCCCTGTCCCACAGGTCAGAGCCAAAGTGTCACCTCCTCCTGCATCCCACACAGCTCATACTTCATGCTCCTGGCTCTCCCACTGGTGCCAGCATCATTCCAGGCCATCTTTCTCCTCCTCTTCCTCGCTTCCAGCGCCCTCGGCATTCCAGCCATCTCCATTCTCCTGGTCCTTGCTGCAGCGGGTGGGGACAAGTGTGGGGACAGTGGCTGGGGACACACCACCCTGGGGGGGAGGGTCTGTCCTCTCCAACCCTCTCCTTGTCCCATAGGGCATTGGCTGCTGGCATCCGGCTGCCATGGTGCCAGAAGGATCCGGCCAGGGGTTTCCTGGGAAAAGGCTCGGTACCGTCTCACCTCCACCCCGGAGAGGTAGGAGATGGTTGAGGAGGTGGCATGGAAACCTTGGGAGCTGCTGGGTCCCACCCTGGATGTCCCACCCTGGATGTCCCACCCTGGATGTCCCACCCTGGAGCCATCTGGCACAAGTTCTCAGGAAGGGACAGGACACACCTTGGTGGCTTCCCTATGGCTTTTGGATACCTCATCCCAACTCCTTGCACCATTTCTGTTCATATGTTCCATCTGGGATGTCCCATCCTTGGTGCCTCATCCTGAATTTCCCATCCTGGATTTTCCACCCTAGAGCCATCTGTCAGAGGTCTCAGGAAGGGACAAGACACATCTTGGTAGCTTCCCTAGATAGGACACACGTAGCTTTTGGACACCTCATCCCAGCTCCTTGCACCATTTTTGTTCAGATGTTCCATCTTGGATGTCCCATTCTTGGTGCCTCATCCTGAATTTCCCGTCCTGGATGTTCCACCCTGGAGCCATCTGGCAGAGGTCTCCAGGGAAGGACAGGACGCATCTTGGATGGCTTTTCTACAGATTTTGGGCATTTCATCCCCACTCCATGTCCTGTTTCTGGTCAATGTCCCATCCCTGGGTGTCCCATCCTGAAGCCATCTGGCAGACGTCTCCAGGAAAGGACAGGACACATCCTGGTGGCTTTCCTATGGCTTTTGGGCACCTCTTCCCAACTCCCTGACCAACTCCCTGATCTATTTCTGCTCAGAGAAGGGTGTGGAGAGGCTGGAGAGGTGCATATCTCCATGGTGGTGGTGACACAGAAGCCACCAAGGTGACAGGAGTCAGATTTTCCTTCTTCCCACACAGGGAATGCGATATGGAGCTGCTGCAAGAGGAGTTGGACAGGATGGAGATGAGCTGCCTGCAAAATGAGAGGTGCCCACAAGGTGGGAGGCGTGGTGGCTGTAGGACAAAGATCCAAAGTCCACAGATCCACATCCCCATCTTGTGCTGGGACATGTGTGTTATCCCAGTGCCCCCAAGCTCTGCCAGGGCATGTGCCACCACCCCAGAGTGTCCCCATCCTCCACCTTGGAGGGTATCTCCACCCCTGCCATGTTCTTGCAGAGCCTTCACACCTGGAGCAGCCCCAAGAGGTGGTCGGGGACATTCCCAAATTCACAGGGCAGGTGTCACCTGACCCAGATGTCCAGAGGACAACACGGAGCTCGTGTGGGGTAAGGTGCTGGGTGGGATGTCCCCACGTTGGTGTTGTCCCCCAAAACCTGCTCTTGGGGGCCAGCTGGGTCTCACTGAGGGTCAAGTCCTCCAAGGCTGGGGTGTCCTCACCATGGTGGCACCCCTGTGTATGGGGCAGACAGACAGGGCTGGGGACATGACATACAGGGAGGAATTTGGGGTGGAAGAGGGTGTCCTGAAGGTTGCCAAGGCACCCCAGGGGACAAGGGACATCTGCAGGAACCGCCTTCTTCCCAAACCAGGTGACACCGGAGCTGGTCATGGATGCTGGGAAGCTCTGGGAGCCCAAACTCTGCAGCCCGAGGGCCAATATGTGAGCACCAACCACCCAGAATGTCCCTTCTCCATGGCTTGGTGTCACCTCAGGGGGACACCAAGGTGCTGGTGGCTTCCTGGGGTGCTGATGGGTGTCTCTTCTGTAGGTCCCTGTGCCAGGGCCTCACCAGGGCTGGGCAGCGGTGCCGGAAGAAAGCGATTCCCGGGCTGGAATTCTGCCACATTCACACCACCAGCAGTAGCTTGGCCATGGATTCATCCCCCCATTTTTGACCCTCTACCCCCTCCCTAAGGGGTTTTAACCCCTTTTTATGGCTGTTCCAGATCCTGGTGGAGAACATGGACCCTAAGGATGCCACTGGATGTGGGTACAGGGCAAATGTTCATTATCCCACCAGTTTTATGCTATTTGCATATATTTTAATAAATGCCACAATTACAGCTGGAGTCTTTCCCATTCCTATCCTGAGATAGGGGGCTGTAGGATCATCCCCATGTGCCAAGAGCAGCAGCAAATTCCTTGCTGCCATTTCCATGCCCTGGATTCCTGATTGCCTTCCCTTTATTACACCTAATTGCAGGTAATTAATGTAGCTCATTAACAGCTCAGAGCCACCACCCTCTTGGACACAGCCACGGCGATGGCTCCAGTTGGCTCCTACCACTTGATTTGGGATCTTTTTGGGATGCCCCAACTTCCCTCCCCCCTGCCCTGGGCGTCCTGCGCCACTCCCAGCAGTGGGGCAGGAATGTGGGAGCTGCTCCCCGCGCTCCCATTTTTACTTTGGAAATGTCACTGTCACCCCCCCAGCCCCGTCCTCTGCCCCAGCAAAGGACAACCCTGAGTTGAAGAGGATGATCCCGGTGCCAGGCGGTCCCGGTGCTGTCACTTCCTGGCGTTGGCATAGTTGGCATTGAACCAGGCACAGGTTTCCTTCACGGCTGCGGAGGGAGAAGACGGGATGGGTCTGGGCATTGGGAATGGATTTTGGGAATTGATTTTGGTCAGAGAGTCATGGACTGGTTTGGGATTGGGAATTGATTTTGGTCAAAGAATCATGGGACATTTGGGGGATTGGGAATGTATTTTGGTTAGAGAATCATGGGACGGGTTTTGGGATTGGGAATTGATTTTGGTCACAGAATCACAGGATGGGTTTGGGGATTGGGAATGGATTTTGGTCAGAGAATCATGGGACAGGTTTTGAGATTGGGAATTCATTTTGGTCAGAGAATCACGGGATGGGTTAGGGACTGGAATGGATTTTGGTCACAGAATCACAGGATGGTTTTGGGAACTGGAATGGATTTTGGTCAGAGAATCATGGAACAAGTTTTGGGATTGGGAATGGATTTTGGTCAGAGAATCATAGGATAGGTTGGGTTGGAAGGGACTTTTTTAGGTCTTCTCATCCAACCATCATGCAAGGAGACACCTCCCAAGAGACCAGGTTGCTCCATGCCCCATCCAACCTGACCTTGCACATTTCCAGGGATGGAGAAACCACCATCTCCCTGGATAACACATGCCAGTGTTTCGCCACCCTCATTCCTCATCCGGAAAAGATGGACCACCTTGATGCCACCATGGCTGATGGCACGGGATAGGACCCCTGGTGTCTCCTAGAGACTCCCCCATCTCACCTTTCCTGAAAGGTGTGAACTGGAATTCGGGCAGGTACTGCCGGAGCTTGGCATTGCTGGCCGTCTTCTTGAACTGCCCGTCGGACTTGGTGGTGTCAAACTGGGATGGGAAGGATTAAGGAGGAAAAACACGTCTTGCTTTTGCTCCTTTGGTGGGAAGGATCCTCTGGATCATGGAATCTCCGTGGGGAGCTGGTGGGAAGAGGGGCTTAGCCTTTTGTGAAGGATACAACGAGCTCTCCCCTGAATTCCATGGCCTCTGCGATGGCCTCTGCTGCTTCCCGGATGGAGACTTCATCTTCTTCTCCCACTGTGGAGAAGGGAAGGATCATGGCTGTTCCCTCATGGAGAGGGGAATCCTGGGGGACAGCCAGGGCCTACCTGACAAAATGATTGGTTCCACCTCATCATATTCCCGCAGCACCCAAATGAAAAGTCGAGCCAGGTCCTGTGGAAGAGCAGAAAACTCTTGGAGGCGTCACTGATGTCCCCCAACCCTCCCATCCCAAGGGGACACAACTCTGGGAATGTCCCAGGAGAAGCCAGGGGGGTTCAGAGCCCTCTGGGGTCCTGCCAGTGGGTCCTCCAGCCCCATTCCCTGCTTCCCAAGGCCACACCTACCAGGGAATAGATGAACTGTCTCCTGGGCTTGCCTGTTCCCCAGACGGTCAGAGCAGAGCCGGATTCTGAAGGAGGAAGGAGCCATGACCACCAGAGCCACCTCCAACCACCCCACAGAGCAGGTGGGAAAGAAAAAAAAACCCCTCATTTCTCCCCAGAAAAAAATCCCAGGAAGTCCTGCCACCCTCACGTTTGGCCAGGTAGACCTTGTGGATGAGCCCTGGCAGGACGTGGCCGTCCTCGATGTTGAAGTTGTCGTGTGGCCCGAAGACATTGGTGGGAATGACGGCGGTGAAGCGTCGGCCATGCTGCTCGGAATAACCCCTGGATGAGAGCAGGGAAGAGGATGGTGGGTGGGCTGTCAAGCCCCTTCCTCCAGCACTGGTGTGCCCCCAAAAAACCCCAGTCAGCAGCACCTTCACCTGCTGAGCCGAGGTATCTCCCCAGTTTCCACCTGGAATTCCCACTCGATTCCCCTTGCCTTGAAATTCAGTGGCTGCTCCCCTGTCCCCAGCTCACCTATTTTGGACATCAATCATCCTCTTGGCGTAGGAGTAGCCAAAGTTGGAGCTGTGAGGTGGCCCGTTGTGGATCTGGGAATATCAGAGCAGATAAATTAAGCAGGGAAGGGACTTTCCCTGGATTTTGTGTGGGAATGGGGACTCTCACCATGGTCTCATCGATGGGATAGGTGGTCTTGTCTGGGAAGATGCAGGTGGAGAGGCAGGAGACCACCTTCTGCACCCCTGACTCGTGGGCACAGTGCAGGACGTTGTCGTTGATGTGGATGTTTGTCCTCTGGGAAAAGGGACATTTATCAGGATCGTGGGGTCAGGGATCCCCAGATTCCTTCACCAACACCTCATAATGACTCCAGAAACCACTGGAGCTCTGGTTTGGCACTGGGAGCAGAGCAAACCACATCCCTGTGTGCCCATATCCCAATTTAGGGAGTGCAGCACCCACAGGGATCCCGGCAGTGCCAATTCCGTGGGTGCTCACCCAAAAATCCAGGTTGGAGCGGATGTTTTTGAAGAGGCCTCCGACCATGGCGGCCAGGTGGATGACGTGGGTGGGCTTGTGCCTCTCAAACAGGGCTTTGGTCTCGGAGCTGCTCCTGGAATGGGAAATTTTGGGATTCAGTGGGGTCAGCAGAGCAAATTGAGGTATTTCTAAGGAAAAACCCAATCCTAGGAGAGGAAATGTTGGGGTTCGGTGGGGGCAGACTGGGGAGTTTCTAAGGAAAAACCCAATCTTGGGATGGAAAATTTTGGGGTTTGTCAGGGCCAACAGAGCAGATTGGGCTGTTTCCAAGGAAAAATCAAAAAATTTGGGATTCAGTGGGGTCAACAGAGCACATTGGGGTGTTTCTGAGGGAAAAAAACAGTCCTGGGATGGGAAATTTTGGGATTCAGTGTGGTCAACAGAGCACATTGGGGTGTTTCTGAGGAAAAACCCAATCCTGGGATAGCAAATTTTGGGTTTTGTCAGGGTCCACAGAGGAGATTGGGATTTTCCTTGGAAACAACTCAATCCTGAGATGGGAAATTTTGGGTTTTGTCAGGGTCAACAGAGGAGATTGGGCTGTTTCCAAGGAAAAATCAAACATGGGAATGGGAAAATTTGGGATTTGGTGGGGTTGACAGAGCAAATTGAGGTATTTCCAAGGAAAAGCAAAATCCCAAGAAGGGAAATTTTGGGGTCACCAGAGCAGAGTGGGGTGTTTCCAAGGAAAAACAAAGTCTGGGGATGGGGGTTTTTTGGGGTTAATAGAGCAAATTCCAGGGTTTCCAAGGAAAAACCCCAACTCACGTCAAGTCGGCGTCCCGGGAGGACACAAAGATCCACTCCTCGTCCGGCTGCCCCTCTCCATCGGCCACCACCTTCTCGATGGCTCTGCCCACCAGGCCAGTGCCTCCTGTCACCAGGATGCGCTTGGTCACCTCCGTCATGGCCAAAACCCTGCAGGGAGGAGCCGGGGGGGACAAGCTGGGATCACCTCGGCATGGACCACCCTGGTGTGGGCACCCATGAGGATCCCCCACACCCCATGCAGGTGGGATTGGGGTTTTGGGGGGAAATTTCTGCGTTTCTGGGCAAAAAGGGGTGTGTTTGGCTGTGATAGGGCTGAAACTCCTCACCTGGAGGCCACCTGGGCCAGGGCCAGACCTGCCACGTGGCACTGCCCAGCCTCTGGAAAGGGAGGGGCAACTGCACCCCCAGGTGTGTGCCCCAAATCTCCTTCTGCACCCCAAAATCGCCTCCCACACCCCAAATCTCCCCCTGCACCTCAGGGGCTGCACCCCAGATCTACTCCTGAACCCAAGTCTTGTGTCTGCACCCCATATCTCCTCCTGCACCCCAGATCTCCTTCTGTACCCCAAATCTCCCTCTGCACCCCAGTTATTCCTCTGTACCCCAAATTTCCCCCCTGCACCCCAAATCCTCTGTTTGCAACCTAAACCTTCCCTGCACCCCAAATCCCAGCTCTGCACCCAGGATTGCATCCCACGCCTCCCTGCCCCTCAAACCCTAGCACTGCACCCCAAATCCCAGCTCTGAACCCAGTCCTAACCCGCCCACCTCCTCTGCACCCCAAATCCCTCTCTTGCTCCCTCATCTCCCCTCACCCCCTCCCGTCCCGTAGCGCGTCCCCCCTCCCAACCCACAACCTCCCGCCCTCCTGCCCTCCCCACCGTCCTGTCCCCCCACTTTGGGGATCCCCCGGTTCTCCTCCCCACCGGTCTGGGGTGGCTCCGGTTCCCACAAATGTCCCTTAATGGGGTGAGGGGCGCGTCTCACCCTCAGCTGGATTCGGGGCCACTCGGGTGCGCTCGGAGTCGCTCGGTTGAGTTCGGCTGCTCTCGGCTCGGTGCGAGTTCGGGTTGGGTCGGTAGGGGCTCGGCTGTGTTCGGTTTCGCGCGGCTCGGTTCGGTATGGGCTCGGCTAGGTTCGGCTGTGCTCGGTCCTGCTCGGCGGTGCTTCGTGGCGACTCGTCTAGGTTCGGTTGCTCTCGGTTCGTTGGCAGCTCGGCTGGATTCGGAATCACTCGGGTCAGCTCGTTGGGGGCTCGGCTGGATTTGGAATTACTCGGGTCAGCTCGTTGGAGGCTCGGCTGAGTTCGGCTTCGTTCGTCTCGGCCTGGTGAGGGCTCGGCTGCGCTCGGCTTCTTCCGCTGCCGTCACCGGGCGCTGCCGCTTGGCTCGTCGGGAAATGTAGTCCATTCCCGGGAGCAGGGGAAAGGAGAGGGCGCAGGGGAGAAGATTTTGGGAAGGGAAGAGGGACAAGGGAAAGGGGTGCAAGGAAGGAAGAGGTGCAGGGAATAGAAGTGGGTGCGGGTGGGGAAATGAGGTGCATAGAAAAGGAAGGGGGGAAGGGAATGGGGGTGCAGGGAAGGGAATGGGGGTGTATAAGAAGGGGGTGCAAGGGAAAGGAAAGGAGAAGGGAAGAGGGTGCAGGGGTTTTAAGGGGGTTCATGGGAAAGGCTACAAAAGCAAGGAAAGGGGTGCAGGAAAGGAAGGGGGACAAGGAAAGGGGTTTCTTAGGTGTACCCCCCTCAAAGGGGCTCATCAAAAGGGATTTCGATGTGAAAACGTTTTAATCACTTTTAATACACTTAAGCTGAGATTAAAAATGAGCAGAGCTTTACTGCGTGTGGGGGATGGTTTGGAAGGCACCCCCTCCACCCCCACATCCAGCTGGCTTTTCCCTCGGGATTTTTGCGAGGCAAAGGCAGGGCTTTGCTCTAAATTAAAATTTTGAAAGTGGAATTAAGGGCGACCCAGCCAGGAATTCCCACATTCCTCCTGCTAAAGCCCTGGGTAGCCCCAGTGTCGAGGAGCAATAGAATGTCAGTTTTTCTTTCCTCTTCTGGCTGAGACCTGGAAATGTGTCCTTTTCCTTTGGGAAAGTCCCAGGGAAGGCTGGGTCCTTGGGGACCTCCTCGCTGAGAGTTGGGGGGGGTCATTTGCATATTTAAAGATGTCACCTTGTGCCTCTGTCCCCTGGAAGTGCCCATCCCCTCTCCCAGCTGGCTGAGTCCCAGCATGTGCCCAGCCCTTCCAAGCTTTTCCCAGCTCCAGAATCCCACTCCCAAGGGTCTTGGTGTTGTTCCCACCTGATGTTTTACAGGATTCCCTGGCTGATCTCACCCACGGAGCCAGGGATGGACACTGGAGCTCCTTCTCCATGCCAGATAATTCCATGTCTGCCCTGCATCCTCCACGAGACATTTAGGTTTGGCAAGAAGAAACCTCACGCTGATGTTGGGATGAGTCAGATCCAGCTGCGTCCACGCTTCCACCTCACTCCGCGGTGAAATTATAGAATAAAAAGGTTTGGGCTGGAATAAAATCATTCCCATAAATAAAAATCATCCCATTCCAATCCCCTGCCATGGGCAGGGACACTTTCCACTAGATCAGGTTGCTCCAACGTGGCCTTGAACACTCTCAGGGATTAGGGGGAAAAGCCAAGGAATATTTTCCACGTGCTGGTGGGAGAATAAGGTCTTCCTGCTGCCTCCTGCAAGTTTTGGGAGACTAATTAGGGATAAAACCATGCTTTAGCCAAGGAATTGCTGGGAGGTGGTGCAGCCCAAGAGCTGCTGTGACAGCACTCGAATAACCACGGTGTTGCATTAAATGCAGTAATTTTGGAGCTTAAATATGCTAATTCTGGGTCTAATTACGAAAGAAATGTTGGAGCATGAGGGAAGATCACAGGGGAAAGGGATAAAGCTGCGGCGACCACATGGGACGGACTCGTTTGTTAATGAAATATCACCCAGGCTCCTGATGTTATCAAACAAGGCCTTTGGGATTTGAGGATCAAAGCCTGCAGCAGGCCCATTAGCTCATCTGGGCAGGGCGTCTGCGTGACACGATCCAGAGGACATCCCAGGACCTTCCAGCCGGCAGGATAAAGCTTGGGTGGCTTGGCCAGGTCCTGTTGGAGAACCGCTGCTTGGTGTGAGGCGTTGTTTCCGTAACGAAGCTTCCTTGTTGGGTGACCTATTTCTCTGGAATGGGCCCGGTTCTGGGTCCAGCCCCACTCCCTGCTCTGCCCTCCCCATGCCTCCCAGGAAAGCGGGGCAGATGGGTATGAGATTCCCAGGTACAGCCTATCCCAGGTGGAAGCTGTCCGAGGATGATGCTTTACAGCTGCAGCCAAGCTCCAGGAGCCCAGGTGAGACAGCTCTAAGCATCCCTTCCCTGCTAAAATTCCAGCTTTGTGGCTCTTTTTTAGGGAGCAGCACACCAGCAGTGAACTTTTTTTCCAGGCCTTGTCCCACAGGATGGCCTGTGCCAGTTTCCATAGGGATTGGGGGTTGCTCCCCACAATGTGCAGCCCTTTGGGAGTGGGAATGATCCAAAAGCACGGAAGGGAAAGACTGGGATGGGGGTGGTGGCCACAGATATTCCAAGAAATCCCATTCATGGGACTGGGAGCAGCTGCTGCACAAGAATGTCCTTTCCACCATCATTTTGGATTTGGTCTTGTCGAGCCCAGTCCTCTGGAGGAGGGAGATGAACCTGTCACTGCTCCATGGTGGGGTTTGGGATTATTCTGGGAGTGGGATCTTGGCTAGGTGGGTGTGAATCCCATCAGGAGAAGCAATGGAAGAGATGCCACCTTTTCCAGCCCTTCCCATCTGTTTGGGGTCTCCTCGGGATGGAGTGCAGAGAACTGGGCAGGACCCAAGATCCCATCCCAGGGTGGATGGGAGAGAGGAATGTGGGCACAGGGCACTGTGGACGTGGATCTGAGCCTCCTCCCAGTGTTCCCTGGAACCCACGTGAGCTGACTGTGCCCAAAAAGAGCGTCTCTGGCGCAGGTTTGGGATGAGGCAGACATCCCGCTGGGCCTGGCTGCTTGGGCATGTCCAAGGACCTTGGGAAGGTGAAATCCTGCTCTTGTTTCAGTCCAAGTGTTGATGTCAAGCTGGATGAACTCCAAGGTGAATGAGTATAAGAGCAGGGATTACTTAAATTTGTCTTTTTATGGGTTCGACTTTATTTTAAGATGAGCTGAAGTTGGTGCCTCAAGGCCAACCAGAGGAGATGCACTATTTAACTAGAGAAATAAAAAGGCCAAACAGTTCCAAACCTATTCCCTCTCCCGTTTCCCAGCTCAGCTGCAGGGGCTGTTTAGTTTTGGTTTTAAGGAAGGGCTTTGTTCCTCAGCAAACTCTTCCTCTTTGAACCAAATCTGAATCCAGCTGTGCATGGAGTTCTCTGCCTCTCTGGGCTCCAGCTGCTCCAGAGATGTTATTTTAATTTGCTTTTGATGAATATTTTAGTACTGCCAATAGCCCTGGAGACTTTGAACTCGTGTGTCAGCCCAGAGCTCACCTGTTTGCCGGGAGCCTTTGTTCAGAGAAAAAAAACACATCAAAGGAGAAGAAAGAGTGAACGTCACTGGTGAGGAGCAATTTGGGGAGACCAAAGATCTTTATGATCCAAAAATCCATGTTGGAGTGTCAAAACTGGGAGGCAAAGAGGCAGGAAGGTGGCACAAGGGGCAACATCTTCTCAGCAGGGTCACAGGCTCGTTCCTGCACTTTGTTGCCAGGTCTCCATGCTGCACCTCAGGAATCCACAGTGACTTGGTGGGACTCAAGTCATAATGGGGATGAGATGTGTGACCTCAGAGCAGAGGGTTCGTGGCTTGGGATCACCAGCACAGATGATCCAGAGACCCTGAAAAGGGAGGAAGGTGCCCTGGAGGCTCCCTTAATGGGACCCTGCAGTGAAGAGGGAAAGGGGGATCTCCAACACGGATCAGTTGAGGACCTCGTAACAAGGTGAGATTCTGGCCTGGAGACTCCCAGGGAGGTGGAATGGGGACAGTCCAGCCAGGTGGACAATGCAAAAATGACCATCACCTGGGTCCACTGAGGAACTCACAGAAAGGAGTGTGACAGCCTGGAAACCCTGGTAAACCAAGCCCCTTGCAGGAAAAGGGGACAAGGAAATGGGAACTTCCTCGGGTGGTCTTGGCACCCCTCTGAAAGTGAAGATGGTGTCAGGAAGACTGCAGCTATTTAGACTGGGAGCAAAGTATCTGGATGTAGCTGCAAGAACACGAGGCATCTGAGGCTTTGCTGCAGGAAAATTTTATTGAGGCAAAAGAATGAATAGACAGGAGCAGCAAGTGGAAGGGATCCAAGGTGAGGTGCAAGTTGGCAACCATCAGCCAAGGTGCTTTGCTTGCAGGAGCTGTTGGCAGAGGTCAGAGCTGGTGGTGTCAGGGGTGGTGCTGAGGGCCCTTAGCAGATGTAGCCACCCCTTCTGCCATAGCAGCCCAGGCCTCCCAGGCCGTAGCCAAGGCCAAAGCCAAATCCGCCAGAGATGGGCTGTCCCTGGGCATTGAGCTCAGTGCCCAGAGCAGCGGAGGAGGTGGATCCGACGGCGGTGTTCTGGGGGAAGGAGGTCATGATGGGTCCTGGCAGGGTGACCAGCACAGGGGAAGGGTTGATGATGACGCGGGAATCCTGGCATTGCAGGGCACAGGGCTCGTTGCAGCTGTTGGCCAGCGGGGTGGGTCCGCAGGGACTGCAGATGTTGTTGCAGGCCATGGGTGTGGTGTGGAGGGTGCCTGGAAGAGAGAGGGGTGAGGCAGGACAGGGGCATGGGGGAGCAAGGGGCAGTGATGGAGTGTGGAAGCTGTTGTGGAGCTGTGTGGTGGAATGAGGGCGGCTGGGGCTGTGCGTGTGGGGAGAGAGGGGCCAGGGCTGCAGGAGCAGGAGGGTCGGGGGATTGAGGCTCACCTGGTTGTTGGCAGGAGGAGGAGGAGAAGGCTTGAGGAGAAGTGTGTGAGGGAGAGAGGCTCTGGGCCGGCTTTTATGCTGGTCCTGGAGGGGTGGGACAGCCTTGTCCCTTGGCCTTGGGGCATTTTGCGGGCCTGCTGAGTGCTGAGGTGGGGAGTATTTTGCTCCCCACAACTCTGCAGTGTCATGTCCTACTTTTGAGGACATGACCTTGGCGGCAGCTTTTAAATGCAGGTATTAGACACCAAAGGCTGCTGTTAGTGTTTTTTCTCTGGGAGGGCTGAAGACATGACCAGAGCTTTGGAGAAGTGGGATGTCATCATCGTGGCAGTGGAGTGCTGTGGTTTGTGGGTGT